GCAAGCTCCGGCAACCCCTCCGAGAACGTATGTTGAGTAAGCGAAACGTGGGAACAGCGAATTCCTCTGTAGCTGCTATGTGGAAACAAGATACGTGACAATCATGAGTTCGTCCTGCAGTTGGACACTGAATGCAACAGAACGGAAGCATAGAAGGATTTGGCATGGAAGTGCTCGGACAAAACCTGAAAAGGCTTCCAGCGAAGGCATTCTGTACTACCATGACCTGGCAGAGGCCTTTCAGGACACATGCAAGGCCGTCTGTCACATTCAAAAGCTGCTAATTGCCCACACCGACGTCAAGGCCGTAAGCCTCTGCTTCAAGGATCCCTTCAGTGGCCCGTCACTTATAGTAGCTGAATGAGTAGGCTTTACACTTTATGGGATAAGACTATTCCCTGTAGAACTGCAAGGTCACAGTTTTGGGGGCTTATGAATTCAGCAGTTAAGGTCAAACTGATAGATTTCGATGCTGCAATGGAGCTGACGAGTGCGGACCAGCAGTGTCTGCAATCTGCAAACCCGCAGTGCAGCCGTCGAGATTGCCAAACTTTCTCTGGAAGGGGAGCTAGGCAATGGTGGCCTGGCCTCCGTGCATTACGGCACTCGGGAATCCAGGGTGCCGTAATGCACGGAGGCCAGGCCCTGGAAGGCAGGCCTGTCGCAGCAAAGTTGTACCGGGCTCAGCCACACCTGTACTCGAACAAAGACGACGACATCAAGGCATTGCGCACGGAGGCAGAAAGTCAAGCAAGCTGGCTCCGCTCATGCTCCACGAAGTCACGGCTTGCATCCCGCGCGGGCATGATCTCGCACACGATTCAATTGCATGGAAGACAGTGCGCAGGAGATCGGGAGATCGCGGCATGGCACATGATGAGAACAAGTTGGTCGATTTTTTTCCCAGTCATCGCTGTCCCGTCAAAGTGGAACGAACGCCCCGGGTGACCAACATCCTGAGTATCAGCTGCAATGAATGCATCAAAGTAGCGGTTGGGCGGTCATCTGCTGCCGATGGGACAGTCCCAAATGCTGGGCCTGTAAGCAGCAGCAGCTGCCATCCGGTGGGCGAGGTGACTATCCGTGTGATCATTGGTGGCTGTTTGTGGACCTGTAGCACGGCAGATGATTTAGACACAGCCTCAGTCCATGCATCTGCCATGCTACCAGGACGGTTGTTTTTCCAAGGCCCCGCGCTGCCCCTGCGGGAACTCACGCCTTTCACTTGGGCTGCCGGTGTTGCATCTGACAGGGACCTTGGGCAGGGGAGCTGGGGCAAGCTGGACTTGGCAGCGTCCACACAGGAACTCTTCAGGGTAAGGCTGTTGCCGTATAGCAGTACCGGCATCAGCCTGACCTCTACTGTTCACCACGTTCAGATGCCTCTGCGTGTAACGCTTCTGGGTCCTGGTAGGAGCGTGGTGCAGGTTGGGCTGGTGCCGGTATTGCTGTATGGCCCGGCTTGCTCTCGAGGGCAAGCCGGTAGTGAGACAGACACCCTGAAAGGACCTGGCGCAGCATGGGTCCCGTGGCTTCAGCGAAACTCGCCCCACGTGCAGTGGTGAAAAAAGCTGCGCCTCGGCTCTGCGTTGATCGCGTCCCCGTGGTCCTCGAAGAATCATGGTCCTCGCAGCACAGCGCCGGTGGGACAAGCCTGAGCTCCTGGACACCACCTACTTCACCAGGGAAGCCGGACGGACAACACATTGCCCTGGCCATGGTTCTGCAAGCGCTTGCTGGCTTGTGTGCAGTCGTGACAGTGAGAGTTTCTCTTACAAGTGCTTTCTCCATCAGACGATCAGCCATAGCCTCAACAAAAAGTATACCGAGAGCAGGAACCCCAGAGCTCGTAAGAGGTCCCTCGGACGGGTTGGAGGAGGGAAACCGGGGGTTCTTTGGGATCGTGTTTAAGACCTCTCGTGGCTGTCATCAAAGCTTGGGGAGGAGTCTGTTCTCTGGTAGGGTCCCCTTTCCAAACCCTTATGAGTCTATGAGGGGGTTTCCGAAAATAGGGGACCCGAATATAGTACCCTAAGTAATAGGATCCTTATTATAAGGACCCCAAAATAAGGTACCCCTAATTTTCGGAAACTCCCATGAGGATAGAAACAGGAGCTGTCTAAAGGAAGGCCAAGGCAACGCCGACCTCCGGCTCGAGCTTCCAGCCATGCGGCGCCCAACAGCTCCTTCGGGCATTCAGGCCCGCGATTCAGGGTTTGGGGCGTTTCGAATTTTAGGAGTTAGGCTTGGAGTGATGCGTTGTAGGATGTTTTAGGAATGTTAGGGTTTCGCTGGTCTTTTTTGAAAAGCTTAGCAGAGAGAGCCCACGCAGAAAGATCAATCCTGCGGGTTTGCTTGAAGTGGTTGCGAACAAGCGCCCAACAGGTCATGGAGAAGCCGGACCACACACCTGATGAGTCCGTATCTTGCTTTTCCTTTGCACAGCCTGCACACGCCCAGCCTGCCCACGCCCAGCCCTGCGTGCCTTGCTGGCAAGGTCCAAGGCGAAGCGTCCAAGCGCGTTGAAGGCTGTGCAACCTTGGGCCGTCGGCCTGGGGCCTAGGGAAACATGTACTCGTACTCGTTTTGAGCATTTGGGGTTTCCGACGTCCCATGGCCCACCTCTCTGCCATTTGCCCCTCATCCAGTGCCAGTGCTCGGTTCGACACTTCTTTGCATACCCGAACAGCCACTTTCTCCTCGGCCCTCCAGCTCCTCATATCACCTGCAACCACCACCGACTGTGGGTTCGTGATTCCACATCGGCCGGAACTGGCGGGTGTGCTGGCTTAAGCTCGTGAGAAGCCACCGCGAGTTAGGAAGTCGTCACACTCGTTGGCAAGGAGAGGTGGTGACGTTTATGCCCTTGACATTGAATGAATGCAGCTGGAAACTGGGACAACAGAGCTTCGCCTGCCCTTCCAGGTCTGCAGTGCGCAGGGCCTTGAATGTGTGCGGTAGTAACCGGTAGTATCGCGCATGACATCACCGGTCGTGTCTGTGGAGTTTTCTGCCGCTCTTCCAAGGTCTGGCAGGTGCTGGGCTTCTGATAATTTCCGGCGGTGTCTTCTGGCTTTGGCGTGAGGCGCAAGAGGAGAGATGGGCAGCCACGGCCACGTCATTGTCGGGTCACATGTCGTGTCCGTCCATGGCCAGGAGACACGTGCCCTGCATCCGCACAGCACCTTGGATTGCTGGGTCTGAGTGCAAAGGCTTCACAGTTTCACGACCTTCGTCGCATGAGTGCGGTGCTTCTTCTGGTCTCGAGCAGAAGGCACGTCCTGGCACAAACGCGGTGGCAAACAGGCGGGTTCGGGGCAGCTGCTTTGGGCCGTTTTGCAAATGAGTTCTTGGTCAGCTGCAGTCGGGAGTCGGGCCTTGGCAGGTCTTCGAGGGCACGCCTGCAAGGGTCTTTGCAGAGCCAGCAGGGGAGCCGGAGCTTGGCACCCAGTGGAGTGCGCGTGCAGTGCCGAGATTGAGACCTGCGCTCAGCTTTCTCCGTCTTTGTGAGGTCCGACAGCCTTGAGGATGCCGGGTCCTGAGATACGCGAAGTCTCGGAGTCTTGCGATTCTGTGGAAGCTGACGCAGGGCTGTGAGCATTGCCCTGGCTTGGCAAACGAGGTTCTTAGCAAGTTGGAGAGTGGCGATGAGGCAGTGGCCTTGCCAAGACGGTCCCTGGCTACCAGGTGCCATGTGCTTGCATGTCCGGCTCTTGTCCCTGCCCCTGCGCGCAATTTCACAAGAGGCAAAAGGAAGAAAAGAAAGCAAAGGCAAAAGATGTGAAGAAGAAGAAGGATTCCACTGCTCTCAAACTGCCGGCGCCGGGGCATGATAGGCTGATAGGAGATCACTTGTGAAGGCAGAGGCGGCCAGCGTGTCGCAAACAGACACCGATGACGAGAAAGCGAAGGAAGGGGTGGGTTATACGTAGGGTAACTATAATTATAACCCAGGTTAGGGGACTTATAACCCACTTATGACTACCCATGAACCCGCGTCAATGCGAAGTGTTTACTCAGCTGAATGCTCTGCTCGAAGATCATCCGTATGGCCAGTAGTCAGCAAGCTGTGCTGGCTCAGGATGTCATTCGAGATACCCTTCGAAAGTTGGAGGAAGATGGTCGAGCACTGAGATACTAGAGTGACATTTCGGGAGTGAGGATTGTGGCTTCACTCACTGCATGCAGTTTCTGTTCTGGCTTCTGACTTTACCTTGTCGTCAGTTCCTCTCTTTAAATTGCTGTCTCTGTGTCAGGGTCAAGTGCACACCTTGCCAGAATGTACCCTTGCGGTTCCAAGGACAAGGTGCCAAGAAGGGCAGCAAGACTAGGAAGACGGCCAGTTGCCAAGCTTTGTGATACCGATATGAGCCACATTCCACTTCCTGTTGGGCTTTGTAAGGTTGAGAAGCTGAAAGCCTTGCTGGGTGAGGCATGGGATTGGATCGACCTGAAGCCGTTTTTGCCTTGACAGTCGTGATGCGCACAAGGCCGACGAAGAACCCGAGCCACAAGAGCTCTCCGATGATCAGCAGCCCGACAGCCCAGCTGCACCCCATGCCATGGGCATCAGCCGATAATAGGCAGCCCAGCGAATGCCCGTTCGTTGAGGGCTCACCTTGCACTCGGCAGGCCTCTGGAGAGAGTGGCTGTGCTGTTTCAGGGTGGGGATGTGTTAGACACTGCATGCTCTTCGTGATGCTGTGATGGGTATCGTTGCGCAGTGGCATGCGACAAAGAAGAAGCACCTGTACCTCTGGTGGAGCCGCGCCGCCTTTGAAGGAACTGTGAGGGTCATCGTACTATGTTGTACAGCACAGGCAAGAAACGACGCTTCCACCTTGGCCAACGCAACTGTTTTGCGCAGAGTGGCCTTGACATGGCATTGCACAACAAGCACAGACCGTCCCAGTGTTGTCTCAGCCAAGTCAAGACTACACCGTGGGATCTGCTTTGTTGCCACTGAATCTGGAGCCCACTTGCTGAGGTCGCATTTGGACTTTGCCAAAGCGTTGCAGGAGGAGCAGAAGCGAAAGGTCCACGTGGAGATGAAGACTGTCAGGAGCGAATGGGCAGACCTTACGGCTTTGGAGTGTCTGTTTCCTTGCAGGAGCGAGTTCAAGCGAGACTTCGGGAGCGATGCTCGGCCGTTGCTCTGTAGCGGCTGCAAGCTGGTCGCCGCGCGGCTCAGCAGCGAGCGCCGATCCCAGCAGAAACGGACTGGCTATAGCCGATGCTTTTGCTCGAGTCCCATGCCTCAAGGTTAGACACTCACGATGTGCATGACCAGGACTGCATGCAGACTGCAGGAATGTACAAAGCAAATCTTGGCAGGTCCTTACAGTACGAAGTGACAGGAGAGCCCAGCGCAGATGCTCGCCGCAAAGCGCAAGGCGATTGACTCTACATGCAGCAGCTTACGCCACTTGCAGGCCCCTCCCCCCAACGTCAGTTCAGAGCACGGACCAGACAGAACCGGGCGCTGGTGAGGCCGTGAAACCTGCGGAGGGCGAGGGGATTGCCCGCTTCGAGGCAAGCGAGGCGCGGCAATGGCAGAGTTTGCCGTTGGCACATGGGTTCATGGCCCTTGCTGAAACCGTCATAGAGTCATAGTGTCGCGACAGGCATGTGAAGGCTGCAAGACGTGAGCAGAGCATCCTTTTACCTCTGCTCCAGGTCACGGGTGAAGGCGAGCGTGAGGGCAAGCGTCTGTGCCAGAGACTGAGAGCTTGGCCATCGGAAGCAGAACAGTGCGGTCCCAAACATTGGCAGAGCTCGGGCGAGGCGCTGCCATCTTGGAGGAGTCGCGCTTTGACATCCTGGCCAGGCCAGGCTGGAATCTTTTTCGCGAACGGGCCTGTGTTGTGCAATGGGGTGCATTCGGCGACAGGAATCTAGGAGCACAGGTGAAGAGATCCGGAACCGAAGCGGTGCTTTAGACCGGCCAGGCTGATCCAGAGAAAGATCCCGGAGATGCAGCACCTGGCCGGCGGCAGGCACGACTCAAAAAGCAAGACGTGAATGCCCAAAGCACGCCGATGCTGAGTCCGGCGAGGAGTGGCCACAGCAATTGGGAAAGGTGGCTCTGTGCAGAGCGCATGCGCTTGTGCCTGACACCTACAGCTGTGCAGCCCGTTTGCCAGCGGTCCTCCGATGTCTTGGAGCACACCATTGTGTGACTGAGGCAAGCGGAGTGAGGTGAAAGACGAGGAAGATGACGAAATCGAGCAGGACCTCTGAGCTAATGAGCGGACGCTCTGATGCGTCCCATGCAGCACCATTTCCTGCAGAGAAGTTGGCTCTTGTGCAAGCCTCGCTGGCCGGTCCTTTATCCCCTCCATTACCGATAGTTGTGAGGCTAGTCGCCAACGACCATCGATGCTTCGTGTAAAGCAAGGGGAGGGGCCGAGCCAGGGTATTCCACAGCGCAATCTTAAGTCAACTGCCAGTGGCCTTACAGCTGCTTCTTCAGTGCAGCAGCTAGACGTCCGCCACGTTTCCAAACTGTGCATATGTCTCGCCAGATAGCTTGCGCAGAGCATCGCTCCGGTGGATGAATTTCATAATGAATTGGTTGACGTGTTTTCGCGTGGCGTGATGCACATATTGATAATGTACCTTTGCATGCCTGCATGCCTGCACTGTGTTCATTCATTTATGCATCTATTTACTTGTCTGGCTGTATACCTGTATGTCTGAGCGTAGACACTATACACATAGAAAGAAACCTGAGTAGAGACACACACACACCATGTGACACACACACACACACACCCACCCACCCACACACCCCCACACACCCCCACACAC